ATATGAAACCAGTCAATGTATAACCAATTTCATATTTAATCCTGCCAGGTCTAAGGTCTTTGAAGGCCAATATGATCTCCACAAACCGGCCAATCTGCCACCCGATAAAAAGGCTCCCAGCTGCAATTACGCCGCCTTGGGGACAATTTAACCACTTACAGTACTACCAGATACAACCTTCTTAAAACCCCCATGTTACTGAAGTATTATTAGGAGGGGACACTCATACCTAAGATGGGCCCAACCCATAATTCTCCACAATTTTGAACCAGCACTGCCTTCAAAGACCCAATAGATCCCCTGCCAGCTGCAATGACAAGAAAACTACAAATACGAGAAAACAAAATGGCCAACAGCAACCGAAGAACCTAGAACCCAACAGAATATGCCTACAGCGGAAAAAAAAGGCAAGAAGGTCCCCTTACCGGAAAACCAAGGGAAGGAGGGCGAGATAAAGCTGTTGACCCAAGCTCCGAATGAGCTTCAACAAGAGCTCCCTCCCTTCTACATACTATAAGACACTCCCTACGCCTCAACCCCTCCAATCCTATAAGCCCAATCCATTACTGAAAAATCACCCCACTAATACTCCACCTTTCCTGCACACCCCAGTTCTTGTTGGTCCTACTATTAGCTTCACTCAGGCCCAGGCCATTTATTTTCTCTAATTTTTTTGCAGATTTGCAAATATTATAGGCGTTTTTCAACTAAAAGGTGTGGAGTGCTGCTGTTTAACCCTTTGAGGACCATAAGATTACAGAACGCCAAAAGAATAAATTTTTTGTTTTCAGTTGCTGTAACTAAGCCATTTCATGAAATAATTGGCAAAAAGCTAGATCCATTTGTGTTGATAAGAACTAAATATTCCAATAAACCAAAAAAAAAAGTATTTTAAGTTCTTCATCAGATGATACAGGCAATTAAATACATGGGACAAATACGTCCCTTGGTCCTCAAAAGGGTTAAGAAGAAAACAAAATGCTTGAAAAAAAAGCACTCATGTCGCATTTTTCAAGGTGTTTCCATTCAAGTCTATGAAGGTAAAAACACTCAAATCTGCCTGAAAAGTAGCTCGTGTACTGTTTTGTGTACTTCAACGGGGCCATTGAAGTGAATAGGATTTTGCTTGTTGAGAATTTCTGAGCATTGAGCTTTGAGCTGAACAGGGTCTTAGACACTGGGCTTGAATTACCGAGCCACTCCTCTGATCTGTTCAGTTGTCTGTGCGTAATCTGAGATTGACCTACTGAGCTCTGTAAAAAGCAGACTTTTATCAGCAGAGCAGCTAAGAATAGATGGGTAAACATGCAGAAAATGAACCTAGAGTTCCTCCTGCTGGCTGTAACTGTAAGTATAAATTCTCATATGCAATGCTTTAAATGTAAGAGCGGTCTGGATAAAAGCGCACAGATGTGTCCCAAAGGAAATAAGTGAATGGTATATGTCAACTGTGATTAGAGGGGAAAATACTCACTGCTGCCATGGTAAAAACACATCGGTTTTGTAGAAAGTATGAACAGGAGCCAGGCGCTGTGTAGTTTTGTGAGAAAAATAATACACCTTATACGGAGGTGTGCCTTTAACCTCCCTAGCGGTATGATTATGTCCATATTTCTGTGCTCAAAGCGGTACATTTTTTTGCATAGAAATATGCATTTTTTTTATTGAAGGCCTGTAATTGTTAGGAATAACTCACTGAAATCTGTCCGAACAAGAGTCTAGTAAACATCCCGGGTAGGATAAAAACTTGAAACACAAAATCATAAATTATAATTTACTAAATAATCATAAAAATAATAATATAATAATAATAAATTTAATTCAATAATATAATCAAACCAAAAACACTGAAATGTGAAATAGAGCGCCAAGTTCGCACATCGCTGAGCAAAGTCGCAGAATCGTTTTCAGTGTCTGATGAGGAATTTCCCCACAAATCATTATCACTCAATTCTGCAAGTGGTTCTGATTTACTATCGCTGTTCTCTAGCCGGTCTAAAACCGCTTTTGACCTAAAGGGACACTTTTTGGACGCCATGGACTTTTCTAAGTTTCTAGGCAGAAAGAACAGTAAAAATGCAGGCAGGGCGCCGGACAAAGCACTCGGGACAAAATGTATGTGAAATGGTTTGATACAGGAAAGAAATGTCCGTAGCAAAAAAGAAAGAAGAAATAGCGCAGGGCATACATGACTAGGCCCAGAGTGGGGAAGGAGGAACAGAAAGGGTCAAGGCAGATCCAAGGGGTTTGTTTTTGATAGTGGGGGTATTTGGTTGGTGGAAGGTTGAGAGTAGGTGGAGTTTCCTGCACCTTAGGGTGGGGGGTTTCAGTGAGGGGGTGTCAGTTTGAGCTGGACGTCAGGAGTGAGAGCTTCCCTCCCGCCCTCCCTGGTTTTTTTTTTTGGTGAGTATTGGGTCCCTCCAGGTAAAGGGGGGTTATGTTGGTTCCTGGACGGTTGTTGGTCTTTGGAGGCGGTTCTTATCTTGGAAGGTAAAAACAATGGTGTGGGACCCATTGGTGGTATGGGATGCCCGAGGACATTCCCAGTTAACCAAGGTTTAACTGGAAGGTGGTGGTGCTGCACTGCGGACGGTATGGTTGTCTCCGAGCTGGTTGGTTGCAGCTGGAGGCCTAGTGTACAGTGGGGCAAAAAGTATTTAGTCAGCCACCAATTGTGCAAGTTCTCCCACTTACAAAGATGAGAGAGGCCTGTAATTGGCATCATAGGTAGACCTCAACTATGAGAGACAAAATGAGAAAACAAATCCAGACAATCACATTGGCTGATCTGGAAAGAATTTATTTGCAAATTATGGTGGAAAATAAGTATTTGGTGAATATCAAAAGTTCATCTCAATACTTTGTTATATATCCTTTGTTGGCAATGACAGAGGTCAGACGTTTCCTGTAAGTCTTCACAAGGTTGGCACACACTGTTGCTGGTATGTTGGGCCCATCCTCCATGCAGATCTCCTCTAGAGCAGTGATGTTTTGGGCTGTCGCTGGGCAACACGGACATTCAACTCCCTCCAAAGGTTTTTCTATGGGGTTGAGATCTGGAGACTGTCTAGGCCACTCCAGGACCTTGAAATGCTTCTTACGAAGCCACTCCTTCATTGCCCGGGCGGTATGTTTGGGATCATTGTCATGTTGGAAGACCCAGCCACGTTTCATCTTCAATGCCCTTGCTGATGGAAGGAGGTTTGCACTCAAAATCTCACGATACATGGCCCCATTCATTCTGTCTTGTACATGGATCAGTCGTCCTGGTCCCTTTGCGGAGAAACAGCCTCAAAGCATGATGTTGCTACCCCCCATGCTTCACAGTGGGTATGGTGTTCTTTGGATGCAACTCAGCATTCTCTCTCCTCCAAACACAACGAGTTGTGTTTCTACCAAACAGTTCTATTTTGGTTTCATCTGACCATATGACATTCTCCCAATCCTCTTCTGGATCATCCAAATGCTCTCTAGCAAACTTCAGACAGGCCCGGACATGTACTGACTTAAGCAGGGGGGACACGTCTGACTGCAGGATCTGAGTCCCTGGCGGCGTAGTGTGTTACTGATGGTAGCCTTTGTTACGTTGGTCCCAGCTTTCTGCAGGTCATTCACTAGTCCCCCCGTGTGGTCCTGGGAATTTTGCTCACCGTTCTTGTGTTCATTTTGACCCCACGGGGTGAGATCTTGCGTGGAGCCCCAGATCGAGGGAGATTATCAGTGGTCTTGTATGTCTTCCATTTTCTAATTATTGCTCCCACAGTTTGATTTGTTCACACCAAGCTGCTTGCCTATTGCAGATTCAGTCTTCCCAGCCTGGTGCAGGTCTACAATTTTGTTTCTGGTGTCCTTAGACAGCTCTTTGGTCTTCACCATAGTGGAGTTTGGAGTGTGACTGTTTGAGGTTGTGGACAGGTGTCTTTTATACTGATAACAAGTTCAAACAGGTGCCATTGATACAGGTAATGATGCAGGACAGAGGAGCCTCTTAAAGAACGAGGTACAGGTCTGTGAGAGCCAGAAATCTTGCTTGTTTGTAGGTGACCAAATACTTATTTTCCACCATAATTTGCAAATAAATTCTTTCCAGATCAGCCAATGTGATTGTCAGGATTTTTTTCTCATTTTGTCTCTCATAGTTGAGGTCTCCCTATGATGCCAATTACAGGCCTCTCTCATCCCCACTGTATATGGTTGTCCGCAGGTGCATTTCGGATTGTTTGGGGGTGCCTTGGAAGACCAACAACAATTCTTTGGGTTTCTGTTATAAGGAATGGTTGGTGTATTTAAATTTGTGTTGTTAATAAAAGGCCATGTTGGCCATTTACTCCAAAATTGGTGTCATGTTTTATGTAAGTATAATTGGTTAAGGGGAAAGGGGGGTTTGTACGGAACGGTCATGGTGGTAATGGGGAGTGGACAAGCCTATCTCTGGTGCAATAGTCATGCTTTACTATGTCAAATTAATTTGTAAGAAAATGACAGTTTCAAAAAATTTTTACATTTGCCACCGTTCCAGCCCCCGTGTGTCCCGACATCACAGGGACCGGAACACGGAAGCCGGATGCCGGAATCGGCCGGAGGAGATGGCCGGGGACACGGCAGGGAACGCATCGCGGGAGCGAAGGACAAGGTAAGTGCTGCAGGGAATCCATGAGCAACGCCGCAGTGTATTCCCGAGTGTAGCTCGGGGTTACCGCTTTTGGTACTGAAACTTTACCCCGAGCTACACTCGGGAATACCGCCAGGGAGGTTAATAATTCATATGGTAAAAAATAAATAACCAACTTGTGGCTTTAAGAAGCCAGGTTCCAAGATGGACGGTCTGTCCGCTCAGAGGGAAGCAGTGGAGAGTAGAAATGCCTGTCAGTGCAGGGACCACGTGTATTCGACGTCCCAGCGTCCCAGATGACGTCACCACGATGTGGAGAGACGGAGGGGGGGAACTCTCACTGGAGCCACAGCTTTAGAAGGAAGAGGCCGGTTGCCGGGACAACATGTTTCACGTGCCTGCGCTTTATCAGGTTTCTCTCAAATAGGGACATGTGCATTCCAGTGCATTTTTTGGTGCGATTTAGTGAGTTCTGGTGCGTTTGTGATGCGTTTTACCATGTTCCAGTACAGTTCTGTGCAGGAAAAATGCAGCCTGTTCTACTTTTTTTTTCTGCAACCGAAACGCACTGGAACTGCAAGCACTGATGTGAACTATGTCATTGACAACCATTGAACCTAGTTTCTGTGCATTTTGGATGCAGAAAAAAAGCAACTGAAATGCATGTAGTGTACACTGGCCCTAAAAGAATTAGAAAAATGTAAAATTATTCTTACATGTTATTTCTATACTGTATAATCCGCATATATTCTCATCCCCTGTGCAAGTCATGTTCCCAGTGGCTTCGCAGTTCAGCCTTTCATAGGACACACAGTATGGGCATTTTTTACCATTCTCTGTCTTGTTCAAAGGTGGTACTAAAATAAAAGAAAGAACATAAACATATATCCAAACCCAATCACGAATATCTCATACAACTTTTAACATGGCGATGTCATTTCAAAAGTTACTTTCAATAAATTTGAATCTGCAACTTTGCCATTGGCTCCCGCTGCTGTCAATCACGGGAGCCAATGAGTACAGAGAGGGGGCAGGGCCTGAGTCACGTCTCCGAGTGTGAATGGACACACAGAGTGATGGGTGCCCCCATAACAAGCTGCATTCTGTGGGGGCACTGGACAGGAGGGAGACTGAGGAGGATCTGGTCTGCTCTGTGCAAAAGCACTACACACAGCATTTTTAGAGAAAAAAAAAACAAGCCTTTAGTATCGCTGTAAAATAGTGATCATCACTGTTATAAGCAAAAACAATAAAATAAAATAAAAAAATTTCTGATCATCCCCAGAGCAATACAGTGCCACGAGGAAGACATTGAACTACTCCGATGACAGTATGGAAAAAAAATGGAAAAAAGGAAAAAAAGGTTTTTGGGATCAGGGAAGACAGGATCAAACAGCCTTTTTACACAATGCGGAGGATTAGGTTCCTTAGGTTCCACAGTGAGTATAACAAGCACGCTTTACTGCATCTACAGACTGATTGTACTGTTGGGGGTTTAGTAACACTTTCAATAAATATATAGGGTACCATTGCTGACCTCTCCTTGTCCTGCTGTCCAGCCAGGAGTCAAGCAATGGCAGCCCCATCATTCTTAGATATAGCTGCACCAGAAACAGATGCATCAGTCGTACACCAGTCATACACCAGTCATACACCAATCATACACCAGTCATACACCAATCATACACCAGTCATACACCAGTCATACACCAGTCATACACCAGTCATAAACCAATCATACACCAGTCATACACCAGTCATACACCAGTCATACACCAATCATACACCAGTCATACACCAATCATACACCAGTCATACACCAGTCATACACCAATCATACACCAGTCATACACCAGTCATACACCAGTCATACACCAGTCATACACCAGTCATACACCAATCATACACCAGTTCATACACCAATCATACACCAGTCATACACCAGTCATACACACCAGTCATACACCAGTCATAAACCAGTCATACACCAGTCATACACCAGTCATTCACCAGTCATACACCAGTCATACCACCAATCATACACCAGTCATACACCAGTCATACACCAGTCATACACCAATCATACACCAGTCATACACCAGTCATACACCAATCATACACCAGTCATACACCAGTCATACACCAATCATACACCAGTCATACACCAGTCATTCATACACCAGTCATACACCAGTCATACACCAATCATACACCAATCATACACCAGTCATACACCAGTCATACACCAGTCATTCACCAGTACATACACCAGTCATACACCAATCATACACCAGTCATACACCAGTCATACACCAGTCATACACCAGTCATACACCAGTCATACACCAATCATACACCAGTCATACACCAATCATACAACAGTCATACACCAGTCATACACCAGTCATACACCAGTCATACACCAATCATACACCAGTCATTACACCAGTCATACACCAGTCATAAACTAGTCATACACCAGTCATACACCAGTCATACACCAGTCATAAACCAGTCATACACCCAGTCATACACCAGTCATTCACCAGTCATACACCAGTCATTCACCAGTCATTCACCAGTCATTCACCAGTCATACACCAGTCATAAACCAGTCATACACCAGTCATACACCAGTCATTCACCAGTCATACAGCAATCATACACCAGTCATTCACCAGTCATACACCAGTCATACACCAGTCACTCACCAGTCACACACCAGTCATACACCAGTCATACACCAGTCATACAACAGTCATACACCAATCATACACCAGTCATAAACCAGTCATACACCAGTTACTCACCAGTCATACACCAGTCACTCACCAGTCATACACCAGTCACTCACCAGTCATACACCAATCATACACCAGTCATAAACCAGTCATACACCAGTTACTCACCAGTCATACACCAATCATACACCAATCATACACCAGTCATACACCAGTCACTCACCAGTCATACACCAATCATACACCAATCATACACCAGTCATACACCAGTCACTCACCAGTCATACACCAATCATACACCAGTCATACACCAGTCATACACCAGTTACTCACCAGTCATACACCAATCATACACCAGTCATAAACCAGTCATACACCAGTTACTCACCAGTCATACACCAATCATACACCAATCATACACCAGTCATTCACCAGTCATTCACCAGTCATTCACCAGTCATACTTTAGGTAGGTGGCATCAGTGCTGCTGCATACATACAAGAAGGAGTCTGCAGTGTGCAGTTGTCAGAGTCACAGCATGTGGTACTATATCTCTTTTTCATGGATGAGGTAGCCAACACTCCAGATTTTCCACAAATGTTCCTTTCTCCACAAACTCTCCAAAAATTAAAATGTTCTTCGGATCCTGTAAAAAATGAAAGAGAAAAAAATGAGAATACTAGTCAGTACCAGAGTGAGCAAAGGTGTGTTTGCTTTGGAAGAAGAATTCACCTCTAACATTGGGTGTTGTACATGTGTGGATGTTGCTGCCGTCTGTAAAACTATTCGGTTTTTTTACATTTCAGAATAGGGTGCCTCGAGACCGTGCAGAAATATAACGGGGGCTTAGACTGAAAAAAGCTTGAGAAAGATTGGACTAGACCAGTGATCTCCAAACTGCAGCCCAGGGACTGGAAGCGAGCCTTTGCTTGCCTTTATTCAGTTCTTGGGGCACTCTCCTCGCACTGATATGAGGAACTGTTCTTCCCACTGACACCAACAATGGGGCGCTAATCCCCCCAATGACACCAACAATGGGGCGCTAATCCTCCCACTGACACCAACGATGAGGTGCTAATCCTCCCACTGACACCAACGATGGGGTGCTAATCCTCCCACTGACACCAACAATGGGGCGCTAATCCTCCCACTGACACCAACAATGGGACGCTAATCCTCCCACTGACACCAACAATGGGGCGCTAATCCTCCCACTGACACCAACGATGGGGCGCTAATCCTCCCACTGACACCAACAATGGTGTGTGTCTCTGTGTGTACATGTGTCTGTGTGTATGTGTACATGTGTCTGTGTGTGTGTGTACATGTGTCTGTGTGGGTGTACATGTGTCTCTGTGCGTACATGTGTCTCTGTGCGTACATGTGTCTGTGTGTATGTGTACATGTGTCTGTGTGTATGTGTACATGTGTCTGTGTGTGTATGTGTACATGTGTCTGTGTGTGTACGTGTACATGTGTGTGTGTACATGTGTCTCTGTGCGTACATGTGTCTGTGTGTGTATGTATACATGTGTCTGTGTGTGTATGTGTACATGCGTCTGTGTGTGTATGTGTACATGCGTCTGTGTGTGTATGTATACATGCGTCTGTGTGTGTATGTATACATGCGTCTGTGTGTGTATGTGTACATGCGTCTGTTTGTGTATGTGTACATGCGTCTGTGTGTGTATGTGTACACGCGTCTGTGTGTGTATGTGTACACGTGTCTGTGTGTGTATGTGTACTGTGTGTGTGTCTGTGTGTGTATGTGTACATGCGTCTGTGTGTGTACGTGTCTGTGTGTGTATGTGTACATGTGTCTGTGTGTATGTGTACATGTGTCTGTGTGTGTATGTGTACATGTGTCTGTGTGTACGTGTACATGTGTGTGTGTACATGTGTCTCTGTGCGTACATGTGTTTGTGTGTGTATGTATACATGTGTGTGTATGTGTACATGCGTCTGTGTGTGTATGTATACATGTGTCTGTGTGTGTATGTGTACATGCGTCTGTGTGTGTATGTGTACACGTGTCTGTGTGTGTATGTGTACATGTGTCTGTGTGTGTATGTGTACATGTGTTTGTGTGCATGTGTACATACGTCTGTGTGTGTACATGTGTCTCTGTGTGTACATGTGTCTGTGTGTGCATGTGCGTATGTGTGTGTGTACATGTGTGTGTGTATGTGCATCTGTGTGTGTGTGTACATGTGTGTCTGTGTGTGTTTACGTGTCTGTTTGCCTTTAGTACATCAACCACATAGATGTCAAGTCACAAGCATCAACCAGCTGAATATGTCAGTTGTATGTGGGCTAATTATGTGCAAAGGGGGGACCGCGCTATTTAGTGTTCTTCACTGAAAATTCATCTCCCAAATACTAAAGTGTCAGCAGCTTCTGCAGATTCTATATAACCCAATTATAAGGTACAAAGTGCATATGTATATATATATCACAATCATATTCAGGGCCATGGATAAGGGGGCACCACCAGTCCTCCTGTACAGAGACCAGGCAGATGGGTGAATCAAATGTAGGCAGGGAGGGTGATCAGCATGATGGGGAGGGGGGTGCAATTACTGGAACCGATCCCCTGTATGGCTCTCTGCAGCAGCTGAAATCCGGCTTCTTCTCCTCTCCCTCCGGCTGGCTTTCAGCTGCTGCAGAGAGTCATACAGGGGATCGGTTCCAGTAATAGCCCCAAACCCATCACCCTCCCTGTACATGATACATTTCCCCCTATTGCCTAGACCCCCCTGTGTGCCCCCACCCCCACAGTGCTGACGGCTTCCCTCCTCTCCTTCCCACCAACAGCTGCTAGCAAACAATAGGATCCTTCAGGATGGAGAGAGGGGAAAGAGTCTGGTGAACATGTCACATTTCCCCCGTTTCCCCTAAAATAAGACCTACCCCAAAAAATAAGACCTAGTTGTGATCAGGGCTTTTT